TAGCTGGAAGCCTTTAGATTTCCAGTCCAACCGTATTCAGGATTACTCACTGTACAGCCATTTGATCATGTGATGAAGTCAATATCCCCCTCTGACATTTACTTCTCAAATATATTTATAAAGTGTTACCACACCCCCGTTTAGTCTTTGCTGGGATATACTGAACAAGACAAGATCTTCTAATTCTCCAAAGATGTGCATTTTGTTCCCCTAATCTGCATAGAAATGCTTCTTTGCACTTGTTCAATTTAAGTAACATTTTCTAACACAGACCTTAAAATTCTGCTGCATTTAAGTGGAAGCAAACAACACACATCTGAGCTTTTTGCTGAGCCCCAGGTAACTCCTTTTTTTGCAGACTCAGTAAAAATAAGAAAATCACTGGCCTGTAGTATCCTGCTAGAAAAAAAAAAACTCACCTTCCTGGTAGCCCCAAACACCAAATTGGTATTGCGATAGGAGTTTGGAGCTCTGAATCTCCAACTAGTGACAGATGCCTTTCTACTGCAAGAAGAGTCTGAGACACCCTTCATCAGCTGTAGCAGCTCCACGTGAAGCTGAGGGCTGCTGTTAGACCTGAGCTTTGAACACTGTCCTCTTTCACTCGTCAGGGCACAATGGCTGAGCCTGAAAGCAGCTCTCCAGCTAAATATTCAGGAGAAATATCTGCCAGAGGTCAGTCAGTCTTTCATACCCAGATGGCCTCTTACCTCCCTGATTCTGAAGTAGTTGCATCACTCTAGGATGTCTTCATGTACTGTAAGTGGATCACCCAGTCCTGCTCCAAGGCAAGGATAGGAGGGCTGTGTCTGGGGGATTGCAGGCTAGTTCAGTTTGACTCCTGCACCTGGCAAATTGGTGGGAATGTATAATAATGAACAGAGTTAATAGATATGTTTCTACTATGTAAGAAGAAGTATTGATGAGGAATCCCTAAAGAGAGATCATGGACCAAATTTGTTGAGAGGTTTTTGTCAGTCAGTGAATATGTGGATAAGGACAGTCTAGATGATACAGGAGGAGTCTTCCCTGCAAGCTGTTTTACTCCCTGTTTTGCTTCAAGGCCCTAGACTTGCAGCCATCCAGAGAACTTGCTGGCCTAGCCAACTAGTTCTCTTTCTGAGGAAAACTGGGTATGAAAAAGAGTGCACTACACCACTTCAGGTTTTGACCCTGCAGATGGTATGGACACAGATTGTACCAGATTACTTCCAGCATGATCAGAGCAGTCCCCTGTCACAGCAGAATGCTGTTTGGCCAGGCACACCTATTACACCTCCCACAACACTGAAACAGCTTTCTCATCTCTTCCATCATTAATCTCATACTGTTTTACAAAACAGTGGTGAAAGGCCATGGAGGGGCTGCTTGGGTCTGGTCTCCCTTTGCAGAGACCTTGCTCTTTTTTATCGCTTCACCACTGGGTAGATACCTTAGCAGTTATATGAGACAGGTAAAAAAATTTCATCATGTTAAATTTATGATAGTGGCTCCTGCTGCCAACTGTCACAGGAACACCATGCAGAGACCTTTCAGTTTAAAATATTAATGTAGCCAACACAAAGGCTTGAGTTGCTAATTGGCATTCTGGTTCAGTTCAGCATATGTGCCACACCATCCTGTCTTGTGCTAGATATTCATCCTTGGACAACCATCGAACCATGCCTTGTTCTGCATGACAGCCCTCCAGCACTGAACCTGCAGGTGAAGTTTCTGTGACTTCAAGCTTTTACACAAGAGCAGGAGCAGCCTCCCAACCTGTCCCATCACATTTCTCTGTGCCCTGTTCCATCTGCTAACAAGAGGAATAGAAATTTCCTTCTGTGCCTTAGCTTCTCCCCCTGCAAGTCCTGCTCAATTCATGTGCCCATCAAAGCACAGATTACTTCTTACCTGGAGGCATCATGCACCACAAAATGCATGCAGCTTGTCTGCACTCTAGAAATTTCCCAGCTCCATGGATGAGGCCGTCAATAGCTTGAGGAGGGGTAGCATGTCTGGCACTCCAGAAGGTTACTGGGGGAAGGCTTGGACATGCTTTCCAATATCCTGTAAACTAGAGGTTCCTCATTTCCTCAGGCAGGGTGGGCTATAGAGTGAAGGAAGTTAAGAGGAGCATGAGATGGACAGAACATTCCCAGATGCTTCAACCCACCCACCTCACGTTCTCCAGGACTTCTGTCCTCCCAGGAAACACTCTGTCAACAGTATTTCACATTCAGATCTTCAGATCAGGGTAGGAAATTTAGCAAACACCTCCTGCAACAGACCCTGGGTATCTGCACACAGGGAGAGATCTAAAACCCCCAGGGTTATTACACTGATAGGCTTCAGGACTGGGCAGGTCAGTAGCATGGAGAGCAGAAGCAAACAAGGACAGTGTTGTAGCATCTGTGCTTCCTGGGCCATTGTTTACAGCCAGCTTACAGCTCTTCATCTTCTTTCTGTTCAGAGCAGGCTGAACAAGAGATGCACCAGGTATCGCATGTGTATCTCCTGATCTTCCTCTATGGGGTCTCCTGGGAGCAAGAGGAGAGGGCCTCCACCTCCAACTCCCCCACCCCCTGCTCCCCCGAAGGAGCTGAAGAGCGGTGCCGCCATCTCGCCAGTCCCACAGCATCATGGTGCAGCCATCAACAGCGCAGCCCTGCCTGGGCCATGGAGCCCTGCTGTGCCTCCTTCTCCTTGTTTATGTGGCCGGTGATTCAGTTTACGTTTGTTGTGATCTCCTCAAATACAGATTCCGTACAGTGAATTTTCTTGCTATGTCATTAAGTAAGATTTTAAAATAAATACTTCTGTGCTTTATGTGCATTGCACAAACTGAGAAAATAAATGAAATTACAAACAACCCTGTAGTAAGAAGGTTTTTCAACAATTTTACTAAGATGATTTTGAGCCTTCAGTAAAGCCATGTTTGAAAAACAAATCTAATTCCACTTCCAGGATCTTGATTTTAAAAACAGCAAGCTTTTTAATCCACAGTAAATCAAACTGATCTATCATTTGGGGCCATTTGTAAAGCCCGGAAAAGAGACTATATTTCACACTATCTCGTTTGACATAATGGTCTGTGGTGGTTTGAACTTGGCTAAATGCCAGGTACCCACCAAATTGCTCTATCACTTCCTCCCCCTTCCCCTTTTTTTCTCAACAGGGCAAAGAGGGGAAAAAAAAATAAGATACGAAAAAAAACCCAACCCTTGTGGGTAAAACAAAAGCAGTTTTTATACAGGCAAAGCAAAGCAAAGGTCCGTACGTGAAAGCAAAAAAAAAACCAAAAAAAACAAAAACAGATTTAATCTCTACTCCCCACAAAGAGGAGATGTCAGGCCTTCTTAAGAATCAGGGCTCCCATACGAGTAGTGGTTGCCTCGGGGGACCAAGGGTGACCCCACCCCCTTCCTCCTTTCTCCCAGCTTTATACTGAGCAGATGTCATACGGTATGGAATATCCCTTTGGTCAGTTGGGGTCAGCTGTCCTGGTGGTGTCCCCTCCCAAGATCTTGCCCATCCCATCCCACTTGGGGGGAAATGTCAGAAAGAGCCTTGGTGCTGTGTAAGCACCACTCAGCAGTAGCCACAACACCAGGGTGCTACCAACACCCTGCCAGCTCCCAGCATAAAACACAGCACTGTGAGGGCTGCTACAGGGGAAAACCGATTCCGGCTCAGCCAGACCCAGTACATGGTCATTAGTAAATGGTCACCTGCTGAATATAGATGTGTCAGTAAAACTGAGTGGTTTAAGTAACAAGAAGAAGAAAGTGCAAAAAAGCTCAGAAGTTAACTGACCCCAACATTTCTCTGGAAGCGAGTCGGTTACCCAGTTTTTGACAAAAATGTAATGTGCCTTATAGAAATAGCTTTCAAGAACTCAGGCAGTTTCCTCCTGAGATCTTTACAGAAGAACAGCAGTCCTTTTCCAGCGTAGGCCGCTCTTCAGAACCACAGAAGACAATGTTTCAGGCCACTTATGGCAAAGGGGGTGTTTGCTTGGGAAAGGTTTTACAGAATATATTGCTGCTCTACGTGCACACTGCCCATTGCTTTACATCCCCTGTACAACAGATGTAATCACTCTCCAGGCCTTGCCTTCACCTCTCCACAATCCAAAGCATTTACTGCTTTTTTTTTTCTTTTCCAGTCTCTGAAGGTAAAGAGGGCTGTGGGGACAGAGGTTTTCAGAATGAGCTTTTCCTTCCTGTGTTACACAGAGTCCCAGGAGGAGGGACCTATCCGGTCTGAAGGTGAGCAGGTGTAAGAGGGATGGGACATGTGTATCAGCTGTGCTGAAGAAACAAAGATTGTCACATCATTCCCAACATAAAAAATACAGAAATACTCACACACGAATATATGCACGTTTGTATTTATATCCTAGAATACCACATTGGAACGGACCTCAAGGTTCCAACCTTTCTGGCCAAAGCCCAGTGTGGACAAGATGGCCCAGCACCCTGTCCCGCTGAATCTTAAAGGTGTCCGATGTTGGGGAATCCACTGCTTCCCTGGGGAGATTATTCCAGTGGCCGATTGTCCTCACTGTGAAAAATTTTCCTCTGGTGTGCCACCGGAATGTCCCCAGGAGTAATACCTATTTTTCAACCCCGTTTACGAATTTCTATGGGTATATGCCTTATGGATGCGATTCTCTGCGTTTAGGTGGGTTGATGTATGCACAGTAATTGCACACAGAGATGCATTTAAAGGCAGTTACATCCGTACACAGGACCCGACAGTCGTTATGTGCCCGCGCTGTAGCCGTGCTCCATACACGGCATACATGTGCACTAAGCCCCGGGTATGACGGCAGTCATTTCTGGCCGTGGGAGCGATGACACACTCGCACACGTACACGTACGCGTGCAACACCTACCCACGCACCCGCGGGTCCTTCCCGGCGTGGCGGCCACCAGCGCCCCGGCCCGCCACCGCGGCCAG